GTGGGCAGCCCTTGGGCCTTCTCGGCAGCTTTCGGAGTGGGTGGGCGAGGCGGGAACCGGCCGCGAAGCAAGTTTCCCCCCATCCCCTCGGTCCGTTTTGCTCTGTCCGCCATTAACGGCCCTGACGCGCTCTCGCTGCCTTCTTCCCCGCAGCCGCGTGTGCTCCAACCGCCACGGCCTCATCCGCAAGTACGGGCTGAACATGTGCCGGCAGTGCTTCCGGCAGTACGCAAAGGACATCGGCTTCATCAAGGTGAGCGCCGGGGAGCCGCCGGCAGGGCCGGGGGGTGCTTTGCCTTGCTCTCGCCTCACAAGCTTCCTGTTGCACCTTGTTCTTTTACAGCTGGACTGAGCACCAGGAGGATGAGCCCAGTGCCAGGGGTCCCTGCTGTGCTGGCCCGAGGAACCGGCAGTCTCGTGGCACCATGACACGCAATAAATGGTCTCCATGTCCCATTGGTGTGTCTGCCTTTGACTTCAGTGACAACTATCAGATTCCCTATCCCAGCCCCTCTGAAGGATGGGAGCTTCCCTGGTGCCCTCAGCATGGTAGTACATACTGCTAGTCTAAGGAGTTCTGATGTGCTATAAAAGCTCTAATAACCACCTCTTTTCTGGCTTCTAGGGATGTTATGCAGCCCTGCATTAAGTTCATATGTTTCTCCTCTTAAGTCTAGTGGGAACTCTTCCTTTTTCTATTCCATATAACTTCAGTAATGCCCTTGAGGGCATGCCCTAAGGGCATGAGTGCCTCAGAGCTTATGATTCCTAAAGTAAGTCATACATGACATTTGGTAGCATTGGAAATGCTTTTCTCAAGTACTTGCCCCTGCTCAGAGTGGCAGCAGGGCCTGTGAGACTTGCTTAAAAGCACCAAGTGAATGGCCAGGGGATCTGTGCAGTCTGTGCTCCTGCGGAGCAGCTGCTTTTGGTTACATGTGGACTAGCTGCACTCTCTTTTGAAATCTAAAAGATCTAATGAGGGTTTTTGGAAGCTGTGGATAATGTTATGCTTGATACCAAGTGAAATACAGAGGTACAGAAGGCAGGTCCTGAGCTATGAGCAGCATTTGGACAGTGCAAGGCGAGGAGCTGTAGTGTGTAATATCCTGGGTGGTTGGAATTGCCTCTTTTGTGAGTGTGGAAGGAAGTAAATTGAGGGTCATGTGTAATGTTACTGTATCTATACATTGTATATATGTGCATATATATAATAGAAGCACAGTAAGGCAGAGCTGTGTGTGGAAAGGCCACCTTCCGTGTCACCTGGTGAGCCTTAACACCCAGTTTCCTTCAGGGAACCCCTGGAGAGGAGATGCTGCTGAGCAGGGGTCTGAGATGAAGCTGCCCCATGAGCCGAGGGGCTGCGGGGGAAACGTGGGGGCTGCAGCAGTTTGAGGCCCCGCTGGCTGCTCGTTGTCCCCTGCTGACCAGATAAAGCCACATGGGGGTGGGTGCTGCTGTCACCAGGCAGCTGGTGACAGTGAAAGAGTGGTTGTCTGAAGCTAATTTGGCCAAACTTGGATTGATACTTGGTAAGTAGCAAAAAAACTGCTGAAATATGAGTTAAAGGACCAAGCCAGGGTAATATCTACTTATGTAAAATACACTTTTAATGCAAGGGAACTACCCCACTGGGGTAAAGCCTGAACAAAAATCCCTTTAGGTGAGGGGTGCGGGGTAGCCTGGAGGCTTGAGATCCTTGGAGGTCCTTGTGGGGGGTACTTTTTTTCCCTAGGAATGGAGGGGAAGGTGGCATCTTCCCACCCTGAAATGCAGTTGACAGTATAAATTGACAAATAACTGGGTTAATGGTTTTTAGCAGTAGTAACCCTCTTTTCCCAAGAGTGGAACTGAAGTTTCCATCAACAAAAACAACTCCTTTGGAGCAAGTATTTAAGGCTGCTTTGTTAAATTTGAGTGCATTATATTTTCCAAAGAATGTACCTTTTCCTTTTTTTTTTTGTAAACACTAACAAGCTCTTTAAAGGTCTTTGAGGATTTAGGCATGAAAATGGGATAATCCTTGAAGTGGAAGGAAATGAGAGAGGACTAAAGGAGTGGCCCAGAGTGGGAGATAGGAAAGCAGGAGGGTGTGAGCGGAGCATGAAGCTGCATGGGGAATGGCCAAGGCAATGAGAAGCTGCTTGGAGAATTGCTTGGAAATAGGAGGAAAATCACAGAAAGGAAGCTGTTAATGACAGTTATTAGAGAAGGCTGGAATTAAATGTGGGCTCTCGTCAAACTTAAAGAGGATGAGAAAGAAGTTCATGCCGGAAATAAAGGGCGGTGTAAAAAGGACTCTGCACTTGGCTTTTCCTAATGAACAGGAAAAATTCATGAGGGTGGCTGAGTTCTGGGGCATGAGTGGGGTGTTACGGACTCCCCATACCTGGAGACTTGTTGAGCAGCCTCATCTGACAGGTTAGCTCTGAGCAGGACACCGGCCCGGGGATCTCCAAATGTCCCTTCCAACCCGGATCTTTGAGTTTCCAGGTGAGGATGTAGCAATAGAGACCTGGTACCTGGATGTCAAGGGCTTTCTGGAAACTCGGCCAGCCATTCCTGATGTGGGAGAAATTCCAGAACACTGTTAAACACTGAGCTTGAAAAATGTTTAAAGGATAGGGGATGAGAACAAGCCCAGAGAGGAGGCAGTGGATGTGACCTTTCCAGCACTATGGAAAGGTTTTGATACTGTTCAAAGGGACTAGTCAAACAGGGGAGTTTCAAGTGGGCTGTCAGAAGGATCTGTGATAGCTTCATTCACAGGGGATAAAGGCCACGGTTATGATGGGGATAAACTGGGAAAGGACATTTTGGGGAATGCTTAAGCGAGTGGAAGTGTAAATCCAGAGCAGGGGACTCGCAGCAGTGCCAGGCTGCTGGTTAAGAGAGGTTTCTGCTGGGCCGTGGCTGGAAGGTGCTGCTCAGTCTGCCCCTCACTGAATTGAGTGGCTGAGGGCAGATTAATTACCCTGACCTTTTGGTATAAAGGACAGCTTCCCCCTCAAACAGCATTTAGTTCCTCTGACATTGATTTTTGGTTTTTGCTGATACCTACAAAGATAGGTGAATCCTGTGAGGACCATTTGTCTGCCTTCAGCCTGGTTCTGGAAATAATAATAAAAAAACACTGATTACCTTCCTAAACAATTCCTGAGTCTTGGTAAATCTTGTTTTCATCGATATCAAGAGGACACTCATTGGGAGAGTAAATGTTTTGTTCTTGAGCATTCCCTTAACCCATGCCGCAATCCCAAAGGTTTCTTGCAGGAAAGCGAGTGAACAGGTCAGACTGGGCTGCTGCTGGGCCTGGCTCCTGCTCCTGCCCTCCCTGATGAGCATTAGGGTAAGAGCCGGTCTCTCAGCAGGGGGTTTGGACTCTGCAGCCCTCGTGCTGGACTCCGAGGACAGCAGAAGCGGTTGCTGGATGCAGCTTTGCTGCCGCGCGGAGGAGCGCATCCCTGCGGGGTGACAGTGCCGAGCGCGGGCTCTGCGCAGCCGGGAGCGGACGGGCTCTCCCCACGGAGCGGCGCCCGGAACGCGGCAGCCTGCGGGGCCGCTTTGCTGTGAGCGGTGCTGCTCCCTTTTCCGTCGCCCTTCCACGTGGAATCTCACCAAAGTGTGAGGCCTGCGATGCGTAAGGCCGTGGAGATGTGAGATGGCCGAGGGAGACGAGGAGGTTCTTGCTCCTGGAGTCTCCGTGCGCTGTCCCGTGTTTCACTTGGCGAGCTCGGATCCTCCCCTCTGGATTTGGTTCACGGCTGGGGCAAGAGCCCTCGCTACCGCGTGAGGCCTTATCAGGTGAGGCTTTTCCTGGCCCTTCTGTGCCCCCCTGCTCTTTTGGTGTCCCTGGGACTTGGAGCTCATGAGAAGCTTTGAAAAGAGCAGCGGTACCTGAATTGCCACCTCTCTGCAGCTCTGCATGCCCAAATCTGTGGGGCAGCTGTGGATATTTGCCCCTCTTCCATGAGCAAAGCTGCTTCCCACCACTACAATGGCTTTGAGGGCACCTTCCTCTGTGGGTGCCCTTGAGCGGCAGTGAATCCTGAGCATCTGCTCCTGAGAGCTAAGTACCAAAGCAGCTGCTGTCTGCGTTATAAAAAATGATTTTTTTTAAAAAAAGGGGAGGAGGTGGGGGAACAAAAAGCTTCACCAAATAGCTCAGGGTACCAATTGAAAAGCAACTTCCTACTGGAAAACAGTGTTTTTGCATTACTTTGTACACATTAAAATACCTAAATTGTCACCTTGTAATTCTGCAAATGCCTTAAAAGATGGGAGCAATAGAATAGAAAAAAGGCAAGAACATTTAAGTCTAGTGGGAAGGTGATGTAGTACAAATGATAATGCCTTTTTACCTTATTACTGCCTAAACTAGGTATTTATTGCCCAATATACAACAAACACTAGGTGCAAAAGCCTTGAATTTCCTGAGCTCATAGTGAAAATTGCATTTAGATTCTTCCTAAAGCTGATGGTTATGGACTATGAAGCTATACAGATGTGAAACTCAAACTTATTTTGAAGCGAAATGATTTATAAAGAATTGCTGATTCCCCCAAAGAACAAGTAAAATCAAAATAGTTTTCAAGGACTCTTGCATTAATAGCAAAGAACTGATACATGTTTTTCTGCAGGGAAATAAAGTTGCATATTTGAAGTAAAGTGGAAGATAGCGATGCCTTAGCTTTGAGAGATAAACTGTATTTCAGCAATTAGAGCTTCATAAGGGATTTGAAAGGGGGAAAAACAGTAAACTGCATGGGATTATGCGGCAGATAAAAATCGCTGCTTGTGGGAGGCTCCGGAGCCTGCAGTGCTCTGAGTAAAATGCTGGTTTTGAGCTCACCCTTAGGCAGGAGAGGCGGCTCCTGGCGTGGGGCCAGTTCCATGGGGATGGAGGTGGCCGTGTGCCCTGATGGGGGACCCTGGTGGCTCTGGGCTCAGCATCCTTGGTGCTCCTAGACTTTCCCCATGCTGGGGTGGGAGCAGGGGGGTGAATTCCTGGGGTTCTCCTAAGCGGAGCATCTCTGGATGAGCACAGGTCACTGCCAGCTCCATAGGGATCTGGCTCCTTGCACCCCAGCGCCCTGCAGCTTCCTGGCAGGGAAATTGGGATGTGCTGCTGCTACCAGAGTGGGGGGCAAAATCCTTCTGCAGAACTGAGGCTTCGGAAGGGACTGAAAAGTTGGCTTCTAGTCCGGGGTGTGTAAAAACCACCTCAATAATATGAACTGTACAAACAGACGTGCTGCTTCGGGTGTCTGTCCAGAAACGCTGCTGGTTCTCCTAGATCCTGAAGATCAGCTGAAGTTTTCAGTGTTAATGTTAACTATTTTCTCCTGGAAACCCCGATCCTTCCTCTCCTGCTGTTGCCTGCAG